CGTGCGAAACTTTGAACCGTAAAAGAAAAAAACACACACACACACACACACACACACACACACACACACACACACACACACACACACACACACACACACATCTAATTGAGATTATGAAATTGATATTTGTTATAAAACTCAAGGTGATGCAATTATTTAATGAAAAAGAATCGTGTCAGTTTGAATGCTTGATATTTACATGTCTCTGTGACCCATTACATATAGTGAACTTCAGTTTTACCTGTGTGTCTTTTCCCCAGAATGCCCCGATCAGATTTTTCACAAACGATTTCATTGTATTAAAATCTTCGTTAGCTATGCTGCCTGAGCCGTCCAACAGAAATGCAATGTCAGCTGTGAGTTTACAGTCTATTTAAAAAAAAATAAAGTTTGTGAAACATTTTCTGCAGTTTCTTTTCAAGTAAAGTGTTTTGTCTTTTTGTTACAACAGTGTACTGTTATGTAATATGTTTTATGACTTGTGTGTGTTTACCTTCAATAGTAGATGGGTAAGAACTTCCAACGGTATTATYCGTACTTATCTCAATGCACAAACCGTTGTACATGGTGATAGAAATGCAGTCTTTAGGTATGGTTGGACCACATGCCTAAAAAACAAAAGGATCAAGTTATTTTGATGGTATTTCATTATTACATACTGTATTTAAGCAATAGTTTATCAGTCTCACCAAAGTTTTCAGCGTTGTGGGATCAGTTGTCATTGCCAAACCAAGGCTCATGTTGACAGCAGTTTTTTCCCCTATGAGAATGTTCAATAAGTCTTAAAACACTCATTTAAGATTCAAAGGTGTTACATTTTAAAGTGGTGACCCCACTTGGATCACATATTTAATCATCACGTAATTATTTGCTGTATTATCTCTGTTTATTCACCAATCAAGTTCCATGACTGCTAATGGAGTTCCTTCAACAAGAGGACTYATTTTCTGTTTTATAAAACACAACAAATAAATAAAGTTACACTTCCATAAAATGTTTAGTCTATTTTTGCTTCAGGGCCTTTTAACAGTATTTGAATATCACTTCTTATATGTGTTTAATGCTTTGCATCAATCTATTTTGATACATTTAACACAAGTTCCTAACTGAAAATAAAATACTTTGAACTTTTGAGTGTAAARGATAATGCTATTTTACCCTTTTTATGTTATAAAGTGACAAAGAGATCCTAAAAATATTGATGTGGTTTATTAATATATTTGATTTTTG